TGTAGCTATACTGAGATCTTAGAACATATATCTCAAGATGGGTGGCGCATTTACGTTGTAAATGTCAATGGGCTCCAGTAACCACTTAACACCAAGTGAGCTGTGAGCTCGTCCACCCTTAAAAGCAATAAAAAAAAGAATAGTGCCAGATGGGCTATGAACAGCTAATCGAGCCATAAAGTAAACAATTTATTTTAACGTTATAACAATTACAAAAATCATTGCATTTCCGTGTACTAGAAGAAGACAAACACGCGTAGAACTATAATGGAAATGTAAAAATACGAAACCGTTCTGAACGTTGCCAAATTTCCCAACATTGCAACGTGAGTTGTGGCGTTTTCGGAGCATCGGGCTACTCTTGACCTCATTCCAGCTATGTAGGGCTCGAAGGGGCCGTCCGGTCGGCATGTCATAAAACGAGTCACCGAAAGAATTGCCATGCCCCTTGTTTGTAGTGGTTAATGTTAAGTAAGCTCAGTGTGCCGATTATAATGATAAACGTTTATTCTGAAATCCATAGACAACTGAAATTGAGCACAAAAGATTGAAACCGGTTGATGTGTTTAATAAAGACAAAAAGAATATTACGTTGTATACGCCAAAAAGTGTTGTCCTGCTGTATTTTTTTTTCTCATTTAATATGTAAGCAGCAGTATCATATTTGCACGAAATTCCAAAGTTAATTTTACCTACAGAACGATGTAAAGGCTTATATTATGAAACACGTAACAAGCTGTTCAAATGTTAGCCAAAACTGAACATACTGTTTGCGTACAATTTAGATACGTAATTCAAGATAATCCTATGTCAAACTTTACAAAAAGAATGACCTTTATTTTGTTTTGAAATCGTGTGTGTACTGTTTATTTTAAGCCTTTATCGGAAATTTCGACTCTATTTACGTACAAATTAATTGTTTGCTTTAAAGATTTGCTTACACACCAACACGCCTACCTACATGTTATACATTTAGTTATTAATAATTGTAAACAAAACTACTCCTAATTAAAAATAATGAAAGTATAAATATAAAGAATATATATCATTGTTTACACATAAATTTCTCAAGAATACTTAGGACTTTCGAATTGGCGAATGCGATTAAATTGGAAAAATTACGTACGATAATTTATGAACAGATAATAAATACTTTAAAAATCTTGATAATGAATTCTACAAAATTATTCGAGTGTTGAAACTTTAATGGTCTCTATTCACAGCGCTTTCATTTCCGCATGTTGCAACTCTATTTTCTATTTCCAAAGAGCTTCAGTATACATACGTGAGTTTTCCTCTCAAAAGTACCTACTCTGTTACATTGTTACGTAATTTTTTAGTACAAAATAGAAACTTATTAATATTACAAACTATTTTTAATAAATATTTTATGAGAATATAATTAATTTCATTATTGAATTAAATTAAAACAATTTCATTTATTCAATTAAATCTTTCCATAGAATTTAAACGAAAAGCTTTTTGCACAAGATATTTTAGTCTAGACTTTGGCAAACGAATTTAAACAAGACAGCCGTGAGATAATTATAATTTAAACCAAATTTTGGTTTCTGCACTAGATGAGTGGACGATCTAGCGATTCCCCTGATGTGTAATAAGTATATACGCGTGTGACGTCCTGAGTCGTTAATTTCAATATCGACCACCATTATAACAAAGCATTAATATTTAAAGGGGGCTTTAAAAAATAATTTGTGCAGTCTTATGAAATGGTGAAGGCTATATTCATTTTATGTTAAACTGAGGCTGCGTCGTCTCTGCTGCAATTAATCAATGTTACGGGGCGGGGCGACGTTCAGCGGGGAGTTCTTCTTGTCGATAGTTAGTTGTTTTCATGTTCCCATTTCCAGTTTCGCTTTCCGTCAAGCTTGCGATTCGAGAACGAATTCGAACGGTCATTCAAAAATTTTAATTAAACTTGTTTCTTTTTAAAGATTGTGATATTAGTTTGGAATTGTGCATCGTTAGCATCCTGCCAGTATCTATCGGTAATTTGCATTAATGGACGACGCAACGCCATACTAATTTTTTGTTTAAATATTTATTAGAGTGATTATTTAAAAAGCGGAAAGCTGCAAACCATATCAAAGGGATCCTGATTGAGATATATTAATTAAAAAACGCCTTGTTGCCCGTGCAAGGCTGCCGTTCACTCGGTTATCAGCGTCAATTTGTTGTTTAGCAACGTAGGAGCCACGCTTCACGAGACCTAAGGGCGTAATCGGACCGTATCTTCTGTTCTATTGGTTTTTAAAGTTAGCGAAACAAAGAATCGTGTTAAGTGCTTTTCATAAATACGAAGCGAACGTTCTGAGGCGTTTTGCAAATTGCACGAGCCATCCCATTTATTTCGGACGCGGATGAATCGCAAGTCCCTCTTTGGGATGTAGAATCAGGAGAGACTTCAATCTAATGTTTGAAATCCAAATTCATGTTCTTTCTTTTATAGGTTCCGGTAATTGCTTAATTACACAAACTTAGTAGGCCCTGAGTTCGTGGTCATATTTTTTTGTTCTGTAAACTATAAGTAATCTGTAAAAAATAATGTGTTCGACTTATCTACAGGATAATAAAATTGGGTGCCATCGTTTGATGGATTAGCTTTCGCAATAGATGAACCAGAATCTAAATATAGGACGTTTGCTAGAGCGAGGAAGTGGAGTATGCGTTTGTGTGGAATGCCGGCGGGTTTTCCTTTACAATTCATTATAATCTGTGGCAAAATTTTAGTTAAACTAAGGGACACCTTTGGTTCGCTAAAATGGATATTCGCTCGATATTAGTGACTATTGTTATTAACCATGTCAACGCATCGCAGAATGCTGTAGAGCAGCACTGAATTTACATTTGAAATTATGAAAAATAACGATGATTTTGTGTGTGAGCTCTACAGATCGTGAATGAAATGTAATTTCACTTTGACATGTTTAGGTTTTGTAATATTTCAATAAAATTTTATATAAAAGAGTATAGGTACATATATGTTTTAACACGATCATGCAAATCTTATTTATTGCGTAGATCAATGAAATCCCATTTCGTCACCTACATGTGTCGTAAAAAGGCTGTAAATTCCTGAGGAACTCTTAATTCCGAGCATCGTTCGACTTCCGTAATCAAATTTTTAATACAGAGTGAGAAAAAAATGTAAAAATATACCAATAAAATCTCCGAGATCAGACACTAAATATAAAATGTTCTGAAGTAAAATCCTTAAGATCATCCTTGTATTAAATGTCAACATTCTTTTTGTACAAGCTCACATTTAACTCTTTTTTAGATAAAATAATATGAATTTAAATCTGCATTATACCTAACTTCATCTTTAACATGTTCGTCCTTGTTTTTATTTAAATTAATACTTTTCATCGAGTTTAATTTAAAAGCGTTTCGTTATCGTTATGTCTAGATTCAATTGGGTGTTGCGTAAATTAGGTATAGCTGGACGTTTTGAATTTATATCACGGTCTTATTCTCGAACAAAGCATTAATAGTCTGACCCATTACCTATACGTTTGTTTAAACGAAGCGTTTACAGTACCGTGAAACAGCCCAAGCGCAGGCATGCTTCAGGATTATTTTTGTTTACACTCAAGAGGGAATGCATTGAGTGACGCATGCGCATGCGCCGTCTGTTGATATACGCAAGCAACAAGTATGTGTTTCGCGAATATCCATTACGTTCAATTGTGATCATGTTCTTTGTTTTCCATTTCGTGTTTTATAATTATATTTCTGTATATATTTGGGAAGCTGACGTTACGATTCGATCCTATAGTATTATAGTTAGGGATTAGGATTAGGGATAGGTAAACGAAAACCAAACGAGTTTCCATCATTAAAACGGCACAGGACTAGTCAGTGAACAAAAATAAATGAACTTATGGCTTTAAATCAATAAAAAAAGTTAGTCTGCCGGGTCAGCTAGTCAGTAATAAATTTCAACATTGGAGAAGTGTGTGACATGTACGCGGCATGCTCTACGAACGAATTAATTAGAAGCATATTGAATTGTGTTTGAATAATGAAATAGATATTCAGCTTACATGCCAATAGGATTTTAAATAGAGTTAAAAATATATATATTAGCAGTCTTTTTTTTTAAATTAAAATGATTATTGCATGAAACATTATTAAGCCGATATTTTGGATGCATTTTTTATTTAAGACTAGCTGACCCGGCAGTCTTCGTAGTACCTGAATCGATAAATAAAAGACCTAAACTTTTGTATAAAACAAACTTAAAACAAACAAAAGAAATCCGTTCAACGCGGCATACGTCAAAGGAAAAACAAAATTGTTAATATTTTTTAAACCTTCTCTGGACTTCTACAAATAATTCAAGACAAAAATTAGCCAAATCGGTCCAGCCGTTCTCGAGTTTTAGCGAAAATAACGAACAGCAATTCATTTTTATATGTATAGATTTTTAACTTTTGGAAAATTCGAAAGAAAATGTTCTATAGCCAAAATAAGTTTCTGAAAATTTTCAAACAGTTAAAGTTAGGCTATAGCAATAATAAATGCACGAACAAATAAATGAATGCATATTAAAGTTAATCGAGAAACCCTAAAAAAATTCACTTATTTCCTTGGGCATTGTATTATTAAAGCATTGATAAGGTTATTAAATGTATTGTGCTATTTGATTTGAATATTGTGTTGGAGCATTGTAATTGTAGTCGTATTGTAGGTGACTGCCCTTGGTGGCCTATTTAACACTTCGTAATGCCAATAGACATAATAATGATGCTTTATATGGTTCTCGTACATAGCCTGTATAACTGTGCTAAGAGATCTGGTTAGTATGTAATGGTCACTAGGAAATAAAGCGTAAATAAATATCAATAACGGTTTTTGTTGTTGTAGTAGCTTTGAGTAATTTTATTGTTATAGGAAGGGACTGGCAACTCGTACATTTTGATTTATAAATAAATGCATTGTAAATATAATAAATATTTCTATTTTCTTTGTTTCAGGTAGTGACATTTATAAACAGACAAGATGACGATAGTGACAAACCCCGCACGTACCGATTCGGAAGACGAGATCGACATTCATTGCGAGAGTGCCGAGAGCTATGGGATCGATGGACAAATCGAGAGTCCCGTTGCAGAGACAGGCGCTGATGATGAGAGCGCGCGCCTGTATGATGATGAAAAACGGAGTGACATTGTGTTCGTGGCCGGAATCAACGGTGACACCTGGCGTTATCCCGGACACCGGCGCGTGCTTGCCGCCACTAGCCCGGTCTTTGCTGCTCTCCTCTCCGTCAAGAGTGACATCATCGTCGTCGACTACGTGGACCGGAGAGGGTTCGAACAGTTGTTGCGTTATCAGTATTGCGAGCCCACACAGCTGAACTCTGTCGCTACAGCCCGCTGCACGCTCGATGCTGCGCATAAATTCTTGTGTCCGCATCTAGCCGAACGCTGCGCTCGACGACTTGACGAGATGCTAGACGCGGGAGCCGCCTTGGAAGTTTTAAGAGATCTACGCTATTTGTGCGCTCGGCTACCGGGAGCCGCGTCAGCACCTCCCCTCACAGCGCTGACCAACGACCTCGCGGCTCGGCTACTGTCACAATGCTCTCGCTGGTGCGACTCTTTGGCTCATAACGCTCTACTTGTACTCGATGATAACGCCGACGCAGCACTATCAGATGAGCGTCTGGAAGAATTGACTTACGAAGATTTAGCACTCATCGTGAAACGGAACACGCTCCGTGTTTCGAGTGAGCTGATATTGGCTGAAGCTCTGGCCAGGTGGAGCACTGCAACATGCAAGCGAACTAAAAGAGAATTGACTTCGGCCAATAAACGGGCCGCTCTCGGGGAACTGGGATATTGTCCACGTTACCTACTCCTCTCGGGCGAAGAACTGGACCGAGCTCTAGCACTAGAACTTTTGGAACCCATGGAGAGAGCTTTGGTGATTGCCCGTGCACGTAAGCTTTCAGCTCCTGTACCAGTCGGGGCGGAGCAAGAGAATATGTTGAAGCGGTGGGCCCGTCCTCGCCCCACTGAGCCTGCTGCTCTACCGGTACATCTTAGTCCGCGGTCTAAGCCCGAAATTGAAGAAGTTCCCAGTAAGCTTTGCGTGCGCCGCCCGAAGAGACCCAAGCAACCCAGCTTTGATCAAGATGATAAAACAACAAAGTGCGGATGTTGCGCTAGCTTCGGAGAAGGACTACTGAGGGCTTTCATTTGCTTGTTCGACTGAAATAAGGCTTCGCCGTCTTACGTGTAAGGCGACGAATAATATCTAACAAAATCCACAAAATGCATTTTTGAAGTATGTCACGAAATATACTTCCAAAGGCCAACTAAAATATTTTTTCCATAAAAACTATTTATTCTCAGACTTCTACATGGCGAGTGTAGTTTGTTTGAGATTATTTTAATGGATCTTTAACGTATACTGTAGTAGTTATTGTGAATAAGAATAGTTTGTATGAAATGGGTCAATAAGATATGTAATTTGTTTAGGTAAGTGAATTTTATAGAAGTGCAAAGGAAAATAAAATCGTTTAATATAATGTATTTTATATAAAATAGAAGAAAAAATACACTTCGATTTTGACGATTTTTATTATGACGCAATTAGTATTATTTTATGTTTGGAATATTTATAGAACAATTGTTATCTTTTACATTATGAACTTATTATGCTATCTATAATTATTATTGAAAGGTCTAGTTAATTTCGCGTTGAATAGGTTGAAAAAAAGTCGGTAAATGATTGTTTTTGGCCCATTGTTGGAGCGCTGGTATTTAATCATCCAGCTTTGTTAGTTATCTTGGTGTTTATATAGTAGCGAAGCTGTTTGTGTCTTAGATATTTTCTTGTCTGGATGTTGTGATACTGAAAATTAAATTTTTAAAATAATTCACATATCAAATTGTTTGACAATTTGCATTTATTTGGAATTGCGGTTCTCTAGGATCTGAATGTTAGTTCAATTTAGTTTTAGACGATACTTTGTTGCATTTATATGATAATTTTTATTGTGTAATTTTTACATGATGTCTCTAATTTGTTGCTTGTTGTAGTTAATGCGGTTCCTTCCATTAAGTTTAATTTTACATTTATAAATCAATGAATTACTAGTCGTTTTTTTCAAGTACATTTTCTCGATGTATGTTAGATTCTAGTTAGATGTAGTGTATTCGATGCTAATAACTAATGAATTATAAAAAGTGCGGAGACAAACTCCAAAGAGTAAGCTTCAAAGGTTCAAAATTAGCCTGTCGAACTCTCAATAGTAAAAGTCTCATTTTGAATGTGCCATATTAAAATGCGTTAAAAAAAAGCCTAACATAGTTTTCGTGTTTCCATTTAATGTGAATTAAAACGTTAAAAGTATTCTCTCCATTTCAAATTGGATATAACCTGTGTTTGGTCTTTATAAAGCTTTTTATGTTGTGAAATTACTTAATGTTAATCTCTTTTTGTCGTAATTATATCTGGATGTGTAATAGATTTGTTTCTTAGTTAACATTAAAATATAATGGTAATTGAATTAAATAATTGTGTATTTTGACGAATTGAATTGATGTTTAGCTGTGAGCTGATTTAATAAAGAATAATCATTATCTGATTTTAAACCAAATATATTATTATGATGTTCAAAAGTTTTCGTATTTATTTTTCGCCCATAATCTTATATTATTTTACAAGCTATCAACGACCTGTAAATCTACCTTTTTTGGGATGGAAAGGGATGGAAACCTGGTGATCATTAGGCCTTTTCAATCTGGCCAGGACAAGTTGGCGAGCGTGGGATAAGGCAAAAGAGGTGGGATTTCCTAACAGCTGTCCGAGCCGGTTCAAAAATAGCTGCTTCGCGAATGCATCTGCTACCGGATCGAAATCGCGATCCGCTGAGAAGATTCAGCGAGAATCTTAATGGATTTGTGTCTATGGAATAGGTTGCACTTTGAACTCATTAATCAGTACGACGAGGACAGTTACCAAAGTCTCTATGCCTAATCCCAGTAGAGATACAAACCTCTAATAGAATTGATGGTGGAAGTGATAGTAGAAGGTAAGGCACAATAAGTCGCGCGTGTCCCGTCCGGGCGTAGCTAGAATAGCCTCTTTGCCTACCAGCCTACCAGCGAATAGACAGGGAAAGAAAAATCTCTCGTAAACATGTCTTATTAGATACGTATTTACTGAGAAAAAATATTATTTATGAGATTTGAACGAGCGCACTGTACCTATATAATGATTTCGACTTTTAACCTTTTTTTTCGGGTATGTGGCTGACTTCGGCGGTCTTAGTGGTCCGCAGATGATGGGAGCGGACCGCGGGCCTAAGGATATTTTAAGGCCCTAGCCACCAAACGACTCCCCTTACTCTCTTCAGCCGACGTCAGTGTGCTTAGTGCGAGTTTTTTAACATTCTCGATAGCGTAAAAGTTAACTCAAGTTTGTATGGAGTTGGAACGTTTGCCGTTAGGGGCGCTGTTCCAACTGCATACAAATTTAAGTTCACTTTTACGCTATCGAGAATGTTAAAAACTCGCACTAAGCACATTGATCTCCGCCCGGGATCTGAACCAGGTTGAGTAAATTTTTGAAAAAAACATAGTGAAAGTTCAAATTTACACTTAAAAAAATCCTGTTGTAACTCACAACAGAAAAATTGCTGTCTGAAAATCTGTTTTTAGTCAGAGATCAGGCAATTAGAGCTTGTTTCGACTTGGCTTTTCATTCAAGGTGTAGTGTCTATCGAACTTCTTCTGAGTCGGTCTCTTCATTACTGAAGGTCGTGTCTAATCTAAAATGTGAACCACTCGATACATAATGCTTCCTCTCGTCTTCCTGTCCTCGGCGGTCTTTATAGCCTCGGTTATTGGCAGGCCGGTGAGCGTCTTAACCAGATCAGACCAGCGGATAGGTGAGCGTCCGCGTGATCTTCTCCCGTCAACCTGACCAACTACCATCAGCTTCTCCAAGTTATCGGCTATCGAACTACTGGTTCCGATTTGACTGGGGTTGGCAGGCCTTCTAAGCAAATAAAATCGTCATCTATACATCGTCTAACAAATTGTCTGTTTGTGATGTTAAATTAAAAAACTATTTACTAAATGCATACGAAAGTACTAAGTATAGGTATACATGACTTAACAAAAAAACAATTTGTGATTTTTTTGTCTCATTAGGTCCATTAATTTCCCAAGCTGGAAGCTGGAAATCAATTAGGTAGGAATTTTCAATTATAGATATGTTCTGATGTTAAGCCATAGGTATTTATTGTTCAAAAAAAGTTCCACACAAAGACATGAAAAGCCTAAAAATTGTGAATATAATTCGATCCAAGTAGATAAATGTATAAGACAAATTCACAGCAAACCGTGGTAGGGTTTAGTTAGGTTCTAATAAAACAATATTAGTAACAAATACTAAATATGAAACATCTATAAAAAATATAAAGTTATGTACATAAACATTGCAGTAAACTAATTATCTTTAATTCTTTATATTTTTCGAAAATACCTCCAGTTCTTCAATGATCGGTTCTTTTGACCTGAAAGACATATTCTTTGAATGCAGACTGAAACCGTCGCTGCTACTCGATGCTAATTCTATTTTTGCGATCTTAGCTGTTAGTTCAGAAAGGGTATATTCGGCTGTGTGCAAATCTTTGCGAAGAGCCGTAACCTTGTCTTGTATTTCGAGCATTGAGTCGATTTTGGAATCGATTTTGTTGAATTTTTCTAAAATCGATTGTCGAGATGTTTTCGCTCGATCAATTTCTTTGTCGATTTTTTCCGAAACTTCGAGCTTAAGTTCTTCGATTTTTCTGTCGTATGTATCTTCGTCAGTATTTTGTTTGTTGTGATCCGTATTGGTCGATAGTGTCCGACATTTCGGAATACGGGATGTATAACAGGCCTTATGGAATACCTGAGACATGTTTAGATAATAACTTCACGATAAAAAACTTATTTAAAAAAAAATTAAATGTGTGAATTATAAAGAAATCATCTTGACATATTTTTTTATAAAGTAACAAAATTTAGTGTAAAATAATTCAGATTTTTTTTTGGCATTCTGACATTACCCTCTATGATTACGTTTATTCCAATCATCCAAACATGTTGATTTATGAGAATCTGTCACTAATTTTTGCACTCTTCATAATTGTGTAATAATTGTTATTTGTTATTCACAGTAAAATAATGTCTATTATTCTATAGCAGCCGGTAAATAAAAAAATATTTCATAAAACGCGTTTCTTGTTTTTTATATATGTGACATCTAGTGAAAATGACGTGAACCTATACAAGGGTTTCGCTGTCTTTGTTGCTTTACAAAATGTAGGCCTGAGAGATACAAAAGAGCATTATCGTATTGATAGATGGCGCTAGGTTCAATTTTTTTTGTTTTGAGAATTTCGTTTTTGTCTTTCACTTACACTTTTTTATTAACTGATTTTTTACTATTTTTGTTTCAGTGGAATGCTAGTATAACTCATTTAAATTTATTAATCTGATGAGTTGGAGATCAAACATTTCTAGACATGGCTTAGATTCACACGAGAATTCAGGAAAATAAGTTTCATAAGATTTAGTTTTGATTAAAAACCTTTTTGATTTATCATCATGATCTAATTTAAGCTTTTAACTGAGATATAGTTGCCTTCTAGTCAGTACCAAATGAAACTTCAATGAAAAAGTTGAAAAAAAATCTTGGCAACAATAGAATTATTAATAATATTTTAAAATTATTATTTATTTTTTCATTTATCGAGTATATTTCATTTCATTTATCTATTTCATGGGGTAAATATATTACGAAATTAGAATTCGTAAAAAATAAAACATAATACATTCAAGTCAAGAGACGATATTGATGTACCGGTTTTATTGTATTGTATTCGAGAAAATTGGATTTTAAATATGTCCATTCAAAGAAACAGTAAGTACGACGAAAAGGTAAGAAAAGTATTCTTCATTTAATTGAAAAAAATGAATGAGACTATGACATTTCTGACAATACCACAGGTAAAATATTTCGAAGTGCACTTGAAAAATCACATGAAAAAAAGCGGTCAAAAACAATAATTCAGCTTTGAATTTAGAGTTACAATGACGTAGACAGGGTTTTTTTGAGACCATTGTGGACATCTACAAAAGCTTGAACAGGTTGGAACTTACATTATATCGAGATAAATATATTTTTGATGAAGTGCAAAAGTTCTTTGACGGAGTTTCGGTAAATTTGTGATTCGAACGTTTTAAACACAATGGTGCGTGAAGGGTTTTGCACACATGGGCCCAATATGTCCATTGTGCTTTGTGAACTGAGACTAATGAATGTTGGTGTGAGAACCCGGGCTTGTACATGTCCTTTGAACGTTTTTATGTGATTTTTTGTGATATCACGACATCTTGTTAAATAATAGGTTGGGGAAAAGTTTCTTCGCATTTTTTAAGAAAATTCACAACATTTTTTAATATACATACATAGTTTATTTATATTTATATTTATATTATACCTAGATGAAATATTTTGCATATTCGAAACTAGAAAAATGTGGTTGAATTTTTACTCAAATTATGGAGTTTAAATGTCAATCAAAGGAAAAGTTGGCACTAGGTGATTAATTACAGAAATAATATATACATATCTGTTATTGCAACAACAGGAAATAGTTTTTATTTTATAATTTATCCTACATCCTCGTGGCTTTACTTTCAAACCTTGTTAGCAAATTTTCAAATAAATTTAAGTTAAACCAAATAAAATTTACGATCGTATTTACAGCGTATTGCAAAAATGAATTGAAATTAAATTGACGTTGTAATTGGGACTATACTAGCTTAAACTCAAGGTTCATCGGAAATCTGGCAATTTTAATACCTTGACGCCTAAGTCTAAATTGAATTTTTTTAAAAGCTACTATTTTACTGCCGTTTACAGAAATATGCAGAACGGTAGTGCCAAGCCCTGTGAGTTCACAACATGCCCCACCCAGCAATTACAATAAGGCATAAGGACGAATTTTAACTTAGGAAATAGATATTATTCATTGTTGTGGTAACGATAAATTCTGGTAATGGTTTTAAGCTATTACATAGCTTCTATCGCGGGCCTTGAGCGCGGCGACTGAATCAAGAAATTCCGTAACGAAAATAACCTGACACCCCCACTACGCCTACTATGTAGCTCGCGTTCAACACATTCACACGTTGCGCTGGTGTAGTGTTTGTGAATAAGCGCGCGTCGTGACGTCGCACTGCATGAGCATTATGAAAAGTCTGCCCATCTCTCTCTCACGCGGTCTAGCCTATGAGTGTGAAGGGGACAGTTAATGTTTTGCTTTTGTTAATTATTATAAATATAGCGTGATCTTATTTTTAGTATTGTTTTAATATTAAATTATTATTGTCTAATTGTAATTACAATAAGTTGATAAAAAATGCTTTGCAATTGCTTTACCGCGGCCGTCCCCGAGTGCCACACGTCTTTTTTTAAACCAGAAACGTTTGAATTTTTACGTCTCTTAACGTAATAAAATAAACAGTTTTCTACGCACGTATTTATGTGATAATCGGAATGTTTTGACCAGCGATACTTTGGTCGCGGTAACCTGTGACAAACCAGGGAAAGTCCACAGGCCACATTAACCGAGGAATCCTGCGAGTGAGATCACGGTGCTAGAGGTCGCGGGGGACAAAAGGACTTCTCTGTGACAGAGTTTTATATAATTAATATGAGCTCTGTCCAGAACAACGCTGTTCACAGGAAACCAGAAAACAAGATGAATTGGCGAAACGTTATCGGTCTCCAACGAAAAACGAAATTATTTTACTGTATTTTTATATAACATGATCTTTGTAACAAAAATATTTTGAATTTAATTATCTCTCATGGATGTCGCGAATGTCAGGGGCAGAGCCAAGCCGCTGCCTACCGCAAGTACTAGTGTGCTAAGAGTTTAGGATCCTGTTACCTACCCAGGCTTTCGGTGCATTGTCAGACCAGAACGACGGTACAATAATACTGTATTGCTATTAGAAGCGGATGAAATTTTAATTTAAGTCCCCTCATAGGTAAAACTTACAGGCGAACGTGATATAAGGTTAAAATACATCTTCTTTTTCTTACCACCTTATCCCACTAGGTGTGGTAAGGTGGAGAAACCGTCATCTCAACACTCACTCCTCTCTCTCTCATATCGTGATTCACACACTCCATCCATGTCTTCTTCGGTCGACCTCTTCCCCCTCTACCTTGCACTACCATTTCCTACATCCCCTAATTACATACATCACAAGGTTAAAAAATAAATGAACTTGCCAATTCACTAAGCTTATTACAATATGGCAGTACAGTAGGCGGTGGAATCGTTGATATTCATGAGCATCGGTGATCGTTCACCAATAGAGGAGCTGTCAGCCTTATGAAACAGTTAAAAAAGACTTAGCTCGTAACTTTATTCTAATCTCTTCGTTGTCGAGTGCTGCGTAGCGCTGAGAAAAACAAAATGCGTTTCTATTATGTCATTGAAATAGCAATTTAAATTTCGGACATTGTATACAACTCCATCTATTTGTAGTGCACACCCACTCAGGGGCTCTATTGTCCTCGGTAAATTTAACGGACCGATAGATAGGCTGGGAACGTCTCCAATCTTCACAGTCCACAGGTAACGTTCTTGTGTTTCCCGACAGACACGGATTAGGGATCTGCAAAATCATTGAAATTAAAGAATAAACTTTTTTTTCTTCATAAAACGAAATATTATTGACGGGACTTAATGAGTGTCATGAAAGCCATATTGTTAACTGATTCGGTGGGGCAGTATATATTTAAACGTATATAAGTTTGTATGTCAGTCACGGGTACCCATAACACAGGGAATCCTAAATTGGGGCTGTATGATCGAGCGTGATTTGTTCCCAGTTAAATGTATTTATATATATTTAAAAGCCAGAGGACATACAATCATAATAGTTCATTTAGCTATTATTGAAACTAAGTCTTCTTCGTTGGCAATGCGCAATAGACGCATCCTGATGTTTTTCTATTTTAACTTTTCGTATTTCCTACTAATTCCTATTCCGAGTTCTTGTTGTGCGTATTGTGACCCGGCTTAGGATACATGGCATGGATACATTGATGCTAAAAAGTGGCTAGTATCTATAATTCAATATTCATTCATACGAAATTATCGAGAACAAATAACATAGGATCATCTGGTCTCTAATTAGAAATAACCGTACTAAAATAACCAGAGAGATATTTATGTTATTATTATGGGTTTAATAATTGCTCGTCAAACAAATGTTTGGCCGATGTGAGAAAAAAAGTCTCTGGGCCCAGCAGTTGAGATAAATAGGTTTTGTATGTAAAATAATTTGTAAGTAGCGAAATATTCAGGTTATTGCCAAATTTGGATAGGAAATAAGCTATTTTTTTTCCGCAAATTCGAAAAAAAAATCCTATGTCTACGTTGGGAAATCCCCATAATGTTTTTTATTTGAACCCGGATCGACTACTGCAATGATTCATCGCTCTCAGTTTTTTCATAATTTTTTTCTTCTTAAACCTAATAATTTAGATTATCTGAATCCGTGCACGCTCCAAGGTAATGTTGATAATAATACCGCTCTCAAGTTTAAGTCCGTGCTATCAGAGCTATTCAATGTTTATTGCATCCTATTGAATAGGAGTCACTTGAAACGGCCCTTTCAGAAGTAAGCGCCACCTCGCCGGCCCTATTCACGTTTTTTTTTCTTTTTTTTTTGTTGAATTTACTAGCGTAGTAACGTTTCGTTGGAAACAGGTTGGTGGTAACGCCGCGCCGGGTCTGTCACAGGTACATTTGTTTTTTATGTCATTCGCACAAGGAGCCTTGTTCAGGTAAGATCCAGTGAATTTGCGTAATCCCCACACTACGAAACATG